GGTGATTTTTTACAATATTGCTAAGAAGATAATGCACCATCCTTGGTCATTTTAATGCATGGATGGAGCCCATGATCTGTCACCTCATTTGGAGGAGTAGCCTCATGTATCTTATATGATCATTTCTTATATTCGAAGTCATATAAGTAAGGATGGCTATTGTTAGTAGAAATTTCAGGTTTCTGCTGCAGAATTCTTCATTAGAATGTGGTATAATCAGAGGTAGAGGGCACAGGCACTAAACTACTTGATTTTTAAATCTTTTTCTAACATTTACATGCTGTTAGCCTGAGGAAATTTTGTAACTTCTCTGGGACTCATATTTCATCATATGTAAAATAGAGAAAAATATAGCAATCCCTTCAAAGTTTGAGTATGGGAAATAATTGAAATATAAAGTACTTTAAAATGCCTAGTCCTTGTAAACACAAAATAAATTTTAACCATCACTGTTATGATTGTGGGATGAATTTCCCTCTTAATCAATGGGAATGCAAGACAATTCTCATTACCCACTCCTAACAAACCTTTCAGATAACACATTGCCAGGCAATTATTATCAATTGTCTATAATAATAAGTACTTGCAAAATAATTTGATATGGCTACCTAATATCAATCCTAATATCAATTATTCTAATGTGGGGTCAGTTATAGTGGATAAATTACTTCATGGAAAACTTTAGAAATAAAACATTTTTTTCAGTAGAGAAGTATGACAGGATTAAATGCCAATTTCCAAGACTTCTGCCAGTGAGTCAGAACATTCCTATGATTTGTAGGCCCTTCTTAAATTTTTTGGATGTATGCCTTTGAAGTTTAGATGTTTAGAAATCCATGAGACTGTTGAACATGGCATTGTAGCTCATGGCCTGAAGGTTACCCTTGAGGGAATGTGTTAGGTTCAGCATTCACTTTGGGGCTTGCCTTCTTCCCTGTGTGAGAAAGTACTTTCTACAAATGGTCATTCTTGGGCAATCTCATTAAATCTGACCTTCAAAATCTCAAATATCTATGGAGCCAGGAACTCCACAAACTATTGTTTAAAAAGTCTATTATGTAATAAGTTGCAGGCACCCTGACACGAAGATGGCTAAAATCCGTAAGTCATTTACCTAGTCACATAGAAAAACTCATGTTAGGTAGAAAAACTGGCATTTATTCATATTGGGAAAAGTGTCTTGGCCCAGATAGGAATATCTTCTCAATCCAAAAGCTGTGAATGCTATGCACAGAAGTTAACTGTTCCAGTTGTGGAAATGCAGATATGCCTGGTTGCTAAAGAATCCTAGAGAAATTTACCTAACCCACCTGAGAAAGTAGACCCCTTTGTTTTTGCTTTCATTCACCTTCCTATCCTGCGATTGCTGAGAGCCCAGAGAACAGTGCCCATTTTCCTGGTGCCAAAGTCCTGCAGCAATTTGGAGAGAGGGAGTTTGAGACTCACAGCAAAGTAACGTCTCTGTAACACTTCTGCCTTTTCTTCTTCCCCTGCTCCTTGCTTATATCTTTCGACTCCACCTTTGTTTGTAACCAGCAATTTAAAAATGATTTTGTCTTTCCATTTACCTTCTTCCATGCTTTCTTCAAAGATCAATTTCCATCCACCTCCCTCTTCCAGAACCCTTTGCTTCGGATGTCATCTCTCTAGCTCCACTCACAGTGGGATTCCACAGCTTCCCAGACCCAATCCTGGCCACAGAAACCTCTCCATCCCTCCCTCCCGCTGGCAAATGCCAAGTTCCAGCTGCAAACTCCTCCCCACACAGGTCCAAGGTCCACGCCCCCCAACCCCGTCTTCCAGGGCAGGATGTTCTTCTCTCTCTAGGACTTCTTCTGCAGGGGAGGTTCTGCGACCCACTGTTGCCATGGCAGAGACTATTCCTGTTTCTGAGACATACCCCGCTTTGCCAAAATCCTTCTCTGTCTTTAGATTCCTCCACCAGATTCCTCACACTGATCAGTAAGATTTCTGGGCACAGGTGAGCCTTGCAAGCTTCATTGTCATTGGGCTGAGTGGATTCGTTGAGACTGTTGGATGAGCACCCTGGCAAGTTATTTTCCCTTAAAAAAGGTCCTCGACCTGAAATGTCTCTTAGTCACATTGAGGAGCTTTAGGAAAAAATTCATCTACCCTTAGAGATTTTTATTTCATTCATCCATGTGGACATTGCTGTTGTTTCACAACTCCTGCGGAAGATCCGATATGTGTGTGTCCAGGCTTTGGAATCAGTACAAAAACCTTCAACCTATATACATTCTTATCACTGAGCTCTTTTCTAAATTGGTTATGATTCACTTTGAATCCTCAGTGGTGTAGCTGCCCACCCTTAGGGAAGCTTACCTCCTCTGTCCTAAGACTGAGTTGACTCTGAAAACGCTAGGAACAGAATGTGCCTTCAGATCTCTCCAAGAAAGTTGCTGGGAAAGTTGGCAATGCCTCTGAGCCTGGTAAACTGCCAAAGAGAATTTAATAAAAGAAACGAGAAGGGCCCAGGCTGAAAAAGAATTCAGGGTGATCACACAGTTAATTACATTTGTTGATGAAATATTAACTGTTCTGGTGACTCTGGCAAAATAGCAGCGTCAGGCAATTAACCACATACATCACACTTGGCTTCTGTTTTTTCTTCTAGCTTTGATTGTTGAAGGCTGGAGCTGACGTTAGAAATCTACTCTGATATGACTATTTTACAGATGAGGAAACTGAGGTCAAGAGAAATTGTGAATTAACAGAAGTCTCACAGCTCAGTAGAGGAAGAGGAAGGAGGGAAAGAGTGATCTTTCTGAGTCTTATGTTCTTGTAGCCACATCCTCCTTTCTCCTACTCACAGCTTTGCTTTGGAAATGCAGCTGCTATCCATCCATGTGCAAAGTGGCAATTTTTTGATATATGCCCAAGAGAAATTGAATTTTATAAAAAAGCAAGCACTAGAGGTAACTAATTGGTGATTCATTATTAAGTTCAAAATATATGGGAAATAAATAGGGAAAAATGACTTTATCTCTCCAAGCCTCTCCATAGTGGGGTGATTTATTACCTCCCAGAAATGTGAGTTTTGAAAGATAGGGTAGACTTTGCTTAGTGCTGTATCTGGTGCATGGTAGTAGTTATTATTAACAGGAGAGATTTTATAAAATCAGCACTCTGCAAAATATGAATCACAAAGAAGTCCTCACTCTGCATTCTGAACAGAGAGAAACAAGGAAGTTTTGCAAATGGTAGCTGCTGCATTGATTAGGTACTCAGTTTTTTCTTTTTAGTTTAAATGCCTATTAGGATACTCCCCCCTCCCAAAAGAAGCTGATCTCTCATTTTAACTCCAAAGTTTATTTCTTAGAATACAGTGCCAACCAAGTTGGTGTAGTTAGTATATTCTATAGGTGAACTTTAGAAACAATCAGATAAGGCAGGTGACAAGGTGTTTGCATATTAAAAGAGTGGGAGCTGTTTATGCTAAGTAAGAGCTTTAAAAGAAACACTCCTTTGACTTTGGGTGCTTTTTATTTGAGAACAAAGTGCAATGGCTTTTACCACCCTGTCATTCTCAGTTGAACTGGAAAACAAATTCATTGCTGTTTGTGAGAATGATTTTCAGTTTATTGAGATACATTATTTCAGAAGATACATTATCTCAGAAGAAATCAAGTGTTGTCTTTTCAAAAATCAAAGAGAGCTGGACATTTATACTAGCCAACGAGTATACTGCCCATCAAAGTTATTTGTCTCTGTAAGTAATTTGAGACATGTGAACAGTTCAGTAGTATTTTCTTTTAAGAGAAATATTTGTGTTTCCTCTATAGTTACCAATATATACAACAGCTCACAAAAATATTCTGTATGTATATAAGCATTTCTTATTTTTTAATTTTTTTATTTTTTAGTTAAGACCCTCTTGGTTGCAAGTAATAAAAACCAATTCTAGCTAGTTTAAGCAAGAAAGACTTCAACCTAAGGACAAGAGTGTACCTAGGTCTCCTGAAGGTACTAGAAGTAGTGAACGTAAGCTCATGAGCTTTCCCTTTATCTTTTATTTCTTTTCCTTTCTACTTCATGTACCTCTCAGACTTCCTTTTATGGTTTCTCAGGTCCACCTGATGGGTGAAACTCCTCCAAATCATACCTTCAGAACTTAGATTTTATAGATCTAGCTACCCAAAGAGAGGATGATCTTCCACAGTCCCATTCCCTCCTTCTAAGGAAGATTCATCTTGGGCTAGTGGCTCATTTTTGGGTCAATCACACATTCTTAGGGTGACTTTTTAAGCTAAGCAGAAAGATAGCCTAGAAAGTCACCATAATAAACAGCCTGGAAAGTCTAAGGAGAGAGGGGGTAGGCAAACAGCCAATTAGAGATCTACTAAAAAGACATACAATTTACCAAATACTCTTTTTAAATAATGGTCTAATTTGATCCTCAAGCAATGACAGACAACTCTGCACCCAATTCTCTTATAGCATTCTCTTATTTTTGTGTGTCTATTATAGTTTCCTCATTAGTCTGTGAATTTTTGCTTTGTATTTTTAGTGCTTGACTTTGAGGGGTACGGTAAATATTTGTTGAAAAGAATGTGTGACCAATTCTGTGAGGTAGATCCTTAGATGAGAAAACTAGAGGCACTGAGGTTTAGTAGAAGCACTAAGGTCACCCGGCTAACAAGTGTGGAGTCAGCTTCTACAGCCTCAATCCTTTTCCAAATCACCACTTTCTACGTTGAGTTGTCCTCTTCTTCTGTCTGTGTTCAGTGACTTACATGGCAGGATTTAGGCCTGGTGGTTAGAACTGTGAAAAAAACAGAATTGAGTTAAAGATGACATTCATTTTATAAGAATTTGATTTTGCCCTCTTGGTGCGTCAGTTAAGAATAGCTTTCCACTAGGTACAGTCTCTACTTTCCGTCTAAACGTTTAAAGGGAAAAAGAATATTTAATAGATGCTGTGAACTACAAAAATAAAATTTACATTTAAATTTTCCGTTTTAGGTATTTTATTCCTGAAAATGATATTCAACCTGGCAGGCACTCCCAGAGAGCTGACCATTTCTCTTATAATTTTGATGATTGCTTTTGTTTTTGTAAGAGCACTCAGGAGCAAGGGCAGAAAGCAGGTGTCTTCTCCTGGCCCACAGTCCTTCCCCATCATAGGAAATCTTCTCCAGCTTGGAGATCATCCTTACCTTACATTCATGGAGATGAGGAGGAAATATGGAGATGTCTTTCTCCTCAAACTTGGCATGGTGCTTGTAGTGGTGGTGAATGGAGCGGAAATGGTGAAGCAAGTGCTACTCAAGGATGGAGAGCATTTTGCAGGCAGACCTAACATGCATACATTTTCTTTCCTGGCAGAAGGAAAGAGTCTTTCATTTTCAGCAAACTGTGGAGAAAGTTGGAAGCTTCATAAAAAAATTGCCTCTAATGCCTTACGAACTTTTTCTAAAGCAGAAGCAAAATCCTCTACTTGCTCTTGCTTACTTGAGGAACACGTCACCGAGGAAGCTTCTGAGTTGGTCAAAGTCTTTGTAGACTTGACTTCCAAGAGCGGCAGCTTTGAGCCAAGAAGTACCATCACCTGTGCGGTGGCCAACGTTGTCTGTGCCCTTTGCTTTGGCAAGAGGTATGACCAGAGTGATGAGGAGTTTCTTAGGGTGGTGAAAACAAATGATGACTTACTCAAGGCCTCTGGTGTAGCTAATCCTGCCGATTTCATACCGTGTTTCCGCTACCTTCCACTGCAGATTATAAATGCTCCTCGGGAGTTTTATCAGGCCCGGATTCAGTTTATTGTACAACATGTACAAGATCATCTTACTACATATGATAAGGTAAGAATTTAAATGCATACCACGACAAGGTTTTGGTGAGAAGCAAAAAATAATGATGAGATGCATTGAATACGAAGAAAGTTGTGTTGTTCCTCAATTCTCTAGCTATAATGAACCTTACCCAAGCTATTAGTAAATTTGAGGTCCAGACAGTGAGATCATAGGGCAGTATTATACAATTTTCCTATAAAAACTCTGAGAGCTCTAAATTCATTGATTCTCAAAAAATTTTCCCCAGAAGCAGAAGCTTCCTCAGTGTAGATAGGGCACATACCTGAATTATGAATCTATAATTGCCTGATAAAATATGACCAATATGTAAGTGAGTTACTTGAAGAAATCAACCAATTCTTTTGTGTCTCCCATTTCACAACTAATATTATAAAATCTCAGACTTAAAAGTACCAAAAGTATCAGCATATTTTTATCAGAAAATATTTTGATTAATTATAAAGAATATTCTTTAAGAAGCTTCCAATTTTGCCTCATTTCCTACATAAGTTCCTTTGCTATATAGAAATGAATTTTGAGATCATAACACATGCATTAAGTTTTTCCAGATGGCAGAAGTGGACCTTACTTATTAAGCCATTGAATTGTTTTTGGCTCACTCTGATGGTCTACAGAGGAGCAAATTTTCTCTTGAAATATATATGTACTAGAAAAAAATCTTAGCTCATGGTGAAGGGGAGGGATTTGCTGAGGTGAGGGCAGCTGGACAAAAATAAGTAAAACATGAAGAGGTAGATAATTGAGCAAATGAAGAAGTAGGAGGAGTTGAGTCCCTACAATGAGAAACAAGAGGCAGAAGACAATTTCTTTCAAGGTGCCAGATGGGGACTCTAGATCAGGCACAGTAAGTATTAGAATTTGTAAAGTTCATAAGCTTTTCTTCCCACTCCCTCAAATATCCCAACCCCATTTCTTTCCCTATGGTGATCACAGTAAAAGTAATTTTTTTCCAGTGACTTTGGAAAATCTTATATTCACTTAGCAATCTCTCTATAATAAGTTAATCTTTAGTTCTGACATTTTTAAATTGTGCTTACAGACATAGGTACTCTTTATTTATTGATTGAAAGAAGTTCTAAGGAGAAAATTGAGTTTGGTAACTTAGTTTTTCATTCTACACTCCCAAGATTGTCAGGCAAAAATAGTTGCAGAGCTTAAAATGATCTATTTATATTCTTTATATTCCTAAACTCATGGGGTTCGTTTCAAGCTACATAGGGATATGGCTCTTCCTGCACAGGATTTATGTGTGATACGAAATGTAGATGGGGATGAATAATTGTGCTAAGGTTTGTTTCCTCGGGACCATGTCCGAGACATTACTGATGCTCTGATTAGTACATGACACAACAAATATGCTGCTACCAAAACAGCCACCTTAAATGACGACGAAATCATAAGCACCGTGAGTGACCTCCTTGGAGCTGGTATGTGAGAGTATTTGTCAACATGTAAGGCTAATAAAGATTAGTTGTTTTTTTTTTCTTTATTATCTATTGTTTATAGTTTAGAGTATTTCCCTCTTTCTCTTCCACTTTGTGTAGTTGATCTCACACTGTATGAATAATTTGATATTCTGCCATCTTCCCATGTCATTCAGAAAACTTTATTTTGATCTCAGGAGCAGAGACTCGAGTGAAGAGTAGTCTCCAATGCATGGTGCATTTTCATTGTCATCCATGTGACCACTGCCCCCGTTTGTTTATGACCTTTTATCCCCACTTGCAGGCCCTTCACCCAACCCGTTGACATTTATTCCTAATCTGTTTAAAGTGTTATTGTTTTTATGTATTCTTATAAAATGGGCTTTTATTGTCATATATTAACATATATTTTTGTATGATAATGTACTTTAATTTATGTAAATATAATTGTTATTTACATCTAAATGTTTCTAACTTTTTGCATGAACCCCTATGCTTTTGAAATCCAACCACAGTTGCCAGGTCTCATGTGGACATCCTGATTGTTTGCAACTCCAGGCTTGTATAGAAAATGCAGATATTGAATATTGTGCAAATGCTAAGATAATCCTCTTTGCACATGAATTTTGCCTCCTTTGGAAATACAACCTTAAGCTAAGAAGAAGAATTTCTGGGTCAACTAATAAAAGTATTCTTGAGTTTTAATATACATTGCTAAATTCATTTTCAGAAAGACTGGACCAATATATACTGCTACCATATTACTTTCATTCTTAAATTTCTTTGTTGTTTTTTAAAAGTCTTTTTTACTCATTAAATTTATTATAGGTCCTGTAAGATATTAGAATGCAGGAAACAAATTCCCTTAGTATAACAAAAAAAAATAGCAAAGGTGTTTTAGCAGTTTCATTTTAGGTAAAATAGTCTTCAAATTCATTTTCTTTCCCTTTCTTCTTTAAACCATCTTTATCGGTAATTGGGTTTATTTGTTTCTAGGATCTATGCATTTGTGTTCCTGAAGTTTCTTTGCAAACAGAAGTATTTGTTTTGATTTGTATTAATTTTTGATTTTGTGTTAAT